AAAGCCTTACTTCTTTCATATACTCCTTGTACAAAGCTTCATTGAAAGATTGATGACCAAGAGAAAATGAATCCTAGAAAAAAATAAATATCAATGAAATGGAACAAATGCAACCAATTTAGAGGATAGAAAAAAAATACTTACATCTGAATCAACAAGATCATCATAATTGGAGTCATCATTTTCATCAGGATCAGGAGAATCAAGAGGCAAAGACAACTCATCATCATCATGACCATCAGAACAATCGCTACTTGCAAGGTCCACAAAGGTAGCCTTCCTTTTCCTAGCCATCTAAGATGAACTCATAATATAAGAACACAATAAGAACTGAAATTTTTTTTAAAAATAATCAATCTTAAAAACAACATTGATCAGAACTCAAAACAGGTCCAACCACTAACAAAACCTCATGAGAGACTAGAGAAAACAAACAAAGTTGACACTTACTACAATTATCACCTAAAAGGTAATACAAACAAATATGACAATGACTACAACAAAAATTACTTGAGCAACTAAACATAAATAATCCTAAACAACAGACATTGACAAAAAGTTGCATCTGACACCTAAAACTTAAATCCTAGAAATAAAAAATAAGACAAATTATATCATGTGGACTCCAGTATGAGCAAAAAAATAGAGCACACACACTCAAAGACATACTGCTGAACTTTACTGCCGGTGCTCTGAACCTCTTACTGACAGGATTTTTAGGACGCTAAGATATAAACTAACTTCATTCTTTTAGCTTGATCAAAATAAAATGCAATGTTACCATAATCAAAGACAATATCTGAACCTGTAGATGATTAGACCAAGCACAGCATTTTGCTGATAACAAAGCTACGAAATACAGAAACTCAAACAAAAATAAACTGAGACTAAGACAAACAAAAATACAAAAATAGAACATACAGAGAGAGACAGAGACACGCACAGAAACAATTTTAAAAAATTGAAAACAAAACTAAAAATAAAACATGGCTAGACACAGATGCAGACACACATACACAAAGACCAACAACACCAACTGCAAAGACCGGCTCGGCTTCAACCTGCGACTCCGAGTACAACTCAACCTAGGACTCGAACTCGACCTCGAACTCCGCTTCGCTTGAGCCAAATCGAAACAAACGGAATCCATAATTAAAAAATCACGAACCGGAACGAGTAGATCTACAAAAACATGAGTGGAGAAACTCACCAACAACAGCAAATCGAAGTTCCGCAAAGCAACCACACACCGCCACCCTGTTGCACCAAAGGGATAAGAGAAGAAAACACAGAGCAAATCAAAAGAAGAGATCCACAAGATCTACAACTTCTGATAGAGAAATTGAGGAAGAACTCACCAATAACGGCGAATCGACGACAGAAAGACCGTTCTGACTCGGGTACGCCTCCGTCAGCGCCCAAAACTCAGCCACCTACTGCGCCAAGGGAAAACAGAAGAAAACACAGACCAAATCAACTCGAGAGCCAAAGGATCTACGACATCTGATCGAGAAATGTTGGAAGAAGTCACCAGCGACGGCGAATCGCCGACGGAGAGGCCACCACCAGCAATGTGGGCGAGACGAAAGGGCAGGGGGAAAGGAAATGAAAAGTTCAAAACAGTAAATACGCGCATTTCCCAAAAATGAGCTAACAAGTGGGCCAGACCAGGCAGAGAGCAAAACGCAAATGGCCGACGGGGGGATGAAGAAGGGCAGAGATTGCGCCAGAGCCAGATCTGATGGTCACAAAATTCGTGTGAGCCAAAGCAAAGAATCACACACACAAAATATAGTTTTTCTGTAAAAAAATCAACATCCAATCCAAATCTAGTTCCAAATCACAAATGTCTACTCCAATCTAATTGCTTTAAATTCCAAATTCATCCATTACAATTCAGTGATAGCAAAAGTATTATGTCTACTTCTTGATCCCATGTCTAAAGCTGGACCTTAGAATTAAAATTTACGTTCACGCTTTAGATTTTTAACAAAATTGTCTAAAATATATTTGAGATGACTCATATGACAGCCTGCTATTTTGGGCAGGTTGGTGTGGCTATATATACATTAAAAGTTGTACTCTCGAATTGACAAAGTAGCCGTATTTGGATGGTGCTAGAGTTGACAAGGCACGACAGCGTGGCATGCCACATACGATCAACGAGGGGTGAGGTTGAGAGTAAGTCTCAATACTAAAATAACTTTGATAGTTTATAGATGAAATTGAATCTGAAAATTAATGTTTAAAACGATCACTTTGATAGTTATGAAATTAGACCCAAAAGTAAAGTTTGATGATTGAAACAACTATTTTCAAAGCAGTCAGGGACGAATTTGAGCCTTAGGCAATAGTTGAGCTGCTAAAATGACTATTCCAACATAGTAATATATATACCTTTTCCAACAAAGAGAGCTGTTGTCGGTGTTTTCGGACCACCGACGAATAAATTTGTATTTGCGCGTCTGGCTCGGATGGTGTACTCGGAGGACACAAGGGTTCATACTAGTTCGGGCGGAACGTCCCTACGTCCAGTTTGCTGATGCTCGTGTTACCGGTACTTGGTTTGCAGTAGGGGTTACAAACGGGCGAGGGAGGGAAATGATCCCAAGTCTCTGGTGGAAGGAGTGAACGGGTGCTGAGAGCTCGATCGCTGCTCAGCCGTGTGTTCGTGTCGTGCTCTTATATTTTTATCTCGTGGTTCGGTCCCGTGCGGATCTGGATCCCCCTTCATGGGGCGCCCTGCTTCCCCTTTTATAGACGAAGGGAAAGCGCGGGTTACAGTGGAGGAAAATGAGAAGAACGAGAGAGAAGAAGGCTTCCAGGATCATCGGGTCCTTCTTCTCCTTCATGTGGGTCCCGTCGATTGTGTAGATGTCAACACGGACGGCTCCATGTCGAGGCCATGTTCGTCACTGGCGCCATGCGCAGGCGTCATCTGCCGATCATGGCATTCCATTCCGTCCCGGCGGACGTCGTGGTGAACTGACGCGTCTGTTAGCGTTCGTGCAAAGGTTAGGCAGAACAGCACCAGTACGCCCGACACTGTTCTTGATGCGAATCCTCAAGTATGGCCCGTCATGGCCACGGGTTACATCGAGGCGTGCCAGTCTCCTCCCTGATGTCAGAGTTTTGACCTAGGCCCACACACTTGGACCTAGAGTGGTTGGTGGATGTATGGGTCCCCGTCAGACGAGACGGAACCCGTATCCAAAGGTCGGACGAGACGGAGCCCGCGGCCTTGGACGAGACCCCGCGGCCTCGAGGTCAGGCGAGACGGGAACCATATCCTTAGGGTCGGGCGAGACGGATCCCCGCAACCTTGGGGTCGGACGAGGCAGAAACCGCGTCCTTGGTATCGGGCGAGACAGAGTCTGCACCCAAGGGGTCAGGCAAGACGGAGCCCCGCGGCCTTGAGATCGAGCGAGGCCTTTTAATACGTCTTGCTCCATCTGAGAAAGTCAGCGTGGGTGCTAACTTTCTTTCTTTGGATATCCCTACTATCGATACCCGATAGCTGCTCATATAACAACTGTCCTTACACTTCGTTACTGCTGTTTATATTATAGCATACTTGTGTTAGATGTCATGTGACAGCTCCAACCCTCCAATGCCATCTGGTCAAACAAACCACCGGTATCAAGCCATCAGGGATCAGCAAGACACGAAACCTGGTTGCAAGCAGCCGCGAAGCGATGTAATCACCCCAGGACGTCAACATAAATGTTGCAACGAATTCCAGTTGAACATAAGCGAAGCCACTGCCACTATGTTGCCCATGGAGGCGTCAAATATCATAAAAGCCAACGACAGCTTAAGACATGGGGCATGGCCGCATGGGGCACATGACACAACACAAGGGCTCACATTGAAATGATTCTGTAAAGAGTGAGTACAACACACATCAACCTTTATATTAAACGCCATACCCAGCGCAGAAAGTTATCGCTCTATGTGATGTCAGGGAAAGAGTGTCAGTGGCAAGCCTTACCCTCGCCTGTGCAATGCGAGGAGACCGCGACTCGAACCCGAAACCTTCCGGTCACAGGCGGTGAGACTCTACCGCTTGCAACAGACCCGCCCTTCACACATCAACCTTTACATTCCGTTCACTAATTCTGATGCGGTGAAAACAAAAAATCTACCATCCAACTTTCCCGCCAGCTCCCCACTCCCCTTTTCATGTCAGACTAACCTTCTAACAAAGAGCCCACTCCAACATAGCTTGTACACCAGGCAGCCCATCTTCGGGTGCCTAGGTGAAATGGACCGCTTACTTCCCGTATCCTACAATTGGGAAGCAGTGGATGAAATGGGAAAAAGAAGAGAGAAAAAGAATATGGGGTGGAACATTGTCAAATATACTTTACACAATCACTGAGCTTCTACCAGAACCATAACGGAATAAGCTTCAGAGATGTTATAGCCAGAAAGACTTCTTCTCGCCATATCCTGTGCATGGAACACCCTTCTCTTCTTCTTCCCCTTTGCTAAAAAGGGTCTGGTCTGAACAATCCAGACCCGCTCCACAAGCTGTATTGTACAATTCGCATGCAGAGTAGCATACCCGGAGCCTGTTGTCTCCATCCTCGTCACACCGTTGAATTGAGATCTGATACGAGAAGTTCGATCAGAGGCAAAGTTAATTCATTGATAGATGATAGATTTGCTGATATCATATTAACATTAACATTTGTTTTTCACATGACTCAAGTGACATGATTGACAGCACTTGACAAAGATCAAGGATACCTACTGACAAGTAGATCTCACTAGCTAGTTATACCGGTTTAAGTAGAGTGCTCGTGCGCAGGTAGTTAACACAAGTATAGCTTAGTAGCACCAGTAGCTAACACAAGCTAGACAGTGCTACCTATTGCTCATCTTGTGTGTTCATGAATTTATTTAGCAACAATGAGCAAAAGCCTAATCCAGAAATGAGTATGCAATGGCAAGCTTAAGTTTGTCAAGTATTTGAAAAAAAAAAACTTCAGCAAAAATCATGATAAAAATGTTAAAAGAGAAATGGTCAAAGAAAGCAGTACCCAGCAGGCTAGCCGCTTTGCAGCTGCTGCACAATTGGCATTGTTGAAGAAGTTAAGGAAGGTCCGCCCACTTGGCATCAATCTATTGTAATTTGGCACCAGAACTACAGTTTCAAGCTGCTGCAGTATACTGAGTTCACTTGGCGCACAATGCTGCCCCTCTGAATCTCTAACAAGTACATCATGACACATTGACAGACTGGGCAGTATTGCAGAACCCTTCTGACATGTGTAACCCGCATAATCTGAACAACGGAATTCACATTTACCATTATCACAAACCCCTCCATGTAAACTACATTGTTCATCGCAAACCGCTGCATAAAAAGAAAGGAGGAAATTACTTCTTGCTTACATGAATAAGAACATGAAGATAAGGCATTTATTTCATTCAAAATCCATTACCCCAACATGACAACTGTCAAGCAAAACATTCCACCATGTCATAAATCTTATATTCTTATGAATTCAACCAAGCCATCACTGCGTAAATATGTCCTCCCTTCCAGCCAACAATGCTTGTCACATTTGACTTTGCATGGTCTTCTATGTATATCTTTGACCAATAATATCTTCTAGGATATATTCTTAAAATCCTCCAAATTTATGATATTTTGCAAGTATGTTCCAATAAAAATCTACACATATTTTGCATGTCTCCAAACTAAATGATGTAAAAGTTTTTGGCGTTGTAGTTTTCAAGGTTTGACCATATCTTATCCTCATCAACGTGTTTTTGTAACTAGAGAGAGTAGTAAGAAGAAACCAGTAGTTAAAGCTTCACCTGTTGAGCAGTCAATCCCTGTCCATCCACTTTCACATTCACAGATCCCATTAGCTTTGCATATACCATGGTTACTGCACTTGTCTGGGCAAGATCCTGTCCACCACACCAACAATAGTGAATTTGTGAGGTATAACGGAATGAACACTTCAAGGTGGCTACAATTTTCAACAGTTTATGAACACCACAATCCTGTTGTATCATCTAATTCACGATATCAATTTTGCAAGGATAAACACATTGTGTGTAGTTCACACTACTGAAAATGATAAAAGTGGTAGATACTTACATGCCGCCTATTTCTTTCATCCTGGTTGACAAATGACAATACATGGAGCGAAACAACAGAAACCTAAATGCCATTTCCTGACCTAAGCTTCTATGTGACGAATTGCTTGACCTAAGCTACTCATTTATTTTTAAGATACCCTTTTCCTAAGTAGATGCCAATTTGGAATTTCTACATTCAATGACAAATTGACAACAGCTTTGACCATTCAAATACACAAATATTTAAATCTATCATGTGAAAAATCAATATTTGTAGATTTGTCATTGAAGTACCTCCCTAATATTATACAATTTTCATGATCATTTCTAACATAGTATTTCTATAAACAATTAACAGAACAGTATTCAAATGGTATTAGTGACTGGAATAATATCTTCTTAATACAGAAATAGTAAAACGTTAGAGAAGTTTCAAAGAAAGTGATAATTAGAAGAAAAACACACATCCGATGTCATTGTGGAGGAAAAAGAAGCCAACGGAAAACATATACTCACTTCTGCTGCAGTCATGACCATGAAAACCAGGAAAGCAGTGACAGGTTCCATCAATGCAGTCACCGTTAAAACTGCAGGACTTTGGACATTGGCCAGTCACTGGAACTGGTACAGTAGCACACAACTCATGATACACCGGGCAAATTAATTCCCCTTCAGAGCAAAAATAACTTCTATGAGAAAAAGACAAATTGATCTGATACACCTTAAGTAACAACCCTCACCATTGAATCCTGGAAATTGAACAGGCCCACCGGATTGTGGACATGACTTCCAGATCCCATCAACAGCAACCTAAACAAGCATGGGTTTCAGAACACAGCACCTCTAAATTGACATCAGATGTAACAATGCACTCGACCAGGAAAAAGTAAGATAATATCACTCAAAAGTAGAAAACCCAATTATTTAAACTGTTGAAAGGGTCATATGTTAGTCGTTGAACTCTCTCTTAGTAGTAGCAGAATTCTTACTCTCATCGAGAGAGGATGACACTAGGAGTTAGGACAATTTTCTGGTTTTATTTCTCACACAAACTCACACAAATGTCATGCCAACCTGAGGGGTTGGGAATACATATTTATAGGCTGCTAGCCAGCCAAGCATATACCAAAATGCTAGTCTAAGATGCTAATATGCTGTCCTCTAAGATGTTGTCCTAAGATGCTGTCCTAGAGTCTAAGATGCTAGTCCTAGATGTTGTCCTAGATGTTGTCCTTCAGTCAAGGATGCTGTCCTTGATAACCACCATGCAGCAGCCCCACAAAGACTTATCCATCATCATCTTCAATAATCACCCCCAAATTCTTAAGGCATGCAACTGTACTTTTTTTCTCGAATACACAGGAGAACTGAGTAGCATTCCATTAAGAAGAAGAGTTAAATATTTTCAAGAACCCCACACCACTCGTACAACTATGGCACTGTTTGGATCCACTCAACTAAAGTTTATAGCTAGCTAAAATTTCAAAGCTAAACTTTAGCCAGCTAAAAGTTCTCCAAGCTAAACTTTAGCTGGGGTGTTTGGATCCTCCAGCCAATAGACTCAGCTAAACTTAAGCTGCGTTTAGCTGGGTTGAAGCAGCTAAACCCAGCCAAACTTTAGCTGGTCTTTTAGCTGGGCCGTTTGGATCCTTAGCAGCTAAATTTAGCCAGGCAGCCAGCTAAAGTTTAGTTGGTGGATCCAAACAGACCCTATACTTATGGTGATCACAATGCACATCACAATTAATAAAGACATTCGAGCAGAAAATAAAAATAGAATTCAGCAGAAAAGGAACCTAAGACAATGGGAATGCAAAGGAAACTCAAGTGTCAGCTGATGGAGTGAAGTGTATTCACCTCTAGTGAGTTATTCGTACAGCGATGCTGATAACAGCCATTTCCTTGGGTCATAGATCCCCGTACAAACCCAGTTCGCACTAGAGTTGAGGCCATGCACCTGCTCATTAACAAATTCAAAATTATTACAACACAACTAGTGGATGTAGTTGTGCACATATCCAAATCGTTTGTAGGTGATGTCACCTCGAATTACTTCCTCGCACTTCACCTAACATTCTGTCAGGCGCCCGTGCACTATTTACATCAGTGCATGAACCATCAGAATAAGCAACATAGTATGTGCAGTAGTCTGCTAATGAAGACTGACCACCTGCAGACATCAAATTCGGAACATGATATATGCAAGAGAATAAGTACAGCATACTACAATTCAGACATCAAATCCAGTTAATAAAAGACGATCAGAAATCATAGCAACTGAAGATATCACAAAAGGAGCATTGGGTCTAGAAACTCTACAACAAGGGGGCACAAGCAAGCAATGTAAAATATACAGGTTGATTCACTAGACCATATACTAGAAACAGGTGCCTCTGCCTGTTACCATATAATTGCCGTTGCACCATAAATCACTGCTACGTGGCTGCACACCACTCATCATTTTTCGGAACCATGCAAGTAAAAGGTGTTACTTGTCACTTTTTTTCTTTCTTTTTGTGGAAAGGGTTGATAACCCAGTAGAAGATATCTGTGCAAACTTACATATGTGATGAGTTTTGTCATTCTGTTATTCAACGTGGATATATATAGTCTATAAAGGCCCCATTGTGGCTACTGTTTATAAATGGGATATCACATGAGGTGAAATAATGGTGTTTAATGATAGTGTTGATTAAAGGATTCCAACAGCGCAAACAAATTAAGAATCAATCATTCAATCATGTCCCTTTTTTCTGTCATTTTTATTTTTCTGTGCGTGTTGTTACTAACCTTGGGGATTTGAGAAGATAATCACTCCACAAGTGGAGAGGACTATATATAGAGAGCCTCATGGGCTATGTGGGCCTATAGTATATGGGCCTTCATACACTTAAACACGTGTGTGGGTGAGGGGGTGGGGGGGTATGCAGATCTGCCCGCATCCACCCCCTATAGATCTACCAATTCCAAAAAATACCCTGAGTCGTTAAACCCAGCTAGAGCTCAAGATCGATTCCAACCATGGTTTGAGAACTTCTTAGATTTTGTTATTCAGAAATACATCGCATAATGACAACTTTATGCTAAATACCAACTATGTGCAAATAATAATCTCGTCTAACTATCTTCACCAAATCTTAGCCTTGATCTAAATCAAGTTACCTTGATCCCTACAACTCAAACCAAATTTTGTATACATTTCGAACACACAAAACAATTCCTTGTATTCTATGGCCTCTGCTTTAATTAAACTAGAAAGGACTCAAAGGAGTGTAAGAACTAATAGAATTAAAAAAAAAATTGAATTTTTGTGAAGTTTGCATTTAATATAATTCAGCATCCTGTTTAATGTCATAAACGTAATAACATATGCTACATTTGGCAATACCTTTATTGGCTTGGGGAAAATATTGAGCCCATTTGGGCAAGTCCCCACTATAGCTTACTATAGGGCAGTAACCTTCTGCCTCCCTATTATATGTGCATCCTGATAGTTGAGTTGTATTGCAATGGTATGCCCCTTTCCATGAGTTGCAAGGAGATATAACGAACTCTGTTCCCTGATTCCGACCCCAATCTAAATGTTCTGCCATGCTGTAATTAGCTTGATACCATCCACTGTCCTCCAGTAATGCTAAAGTCATCCTTGAAACCACTGATCTTGTATCAACTGACCCAGTCATGATCTCATTCATTAAGAGCCTCTTCTCCCAATGTGAACCTAATAGTATATCAAATGCGAAAAACAAATGAATGTGTTCAGAAACTTGCACGATGCAGACATATATCAGTGAATGCAAAAAAAAAAAGGAAAGAAAATAAAAATAAAAAACTATAAAGGACTCATGTTACCTACCTGAGGTGCCCCTGCCTCCCCCGTCTTCCAATTCTAACCCAGTGAAGTTTTGGGAAAATGCCTAGCACAAGACAAAAAAAATGGTTAGTTTATATAAAGTGCTTTCCTAAGTAAGGAGAATGAAACTAATTAACTGTCACTAATGACTCAATTAACTTTTATCACATCTTTAGTTAGAACTTACTTCATAGTGATGTCTCGCGTGCATGACAACTCGTGGTAGCACAACACGGGTAACCATTCTTCCAAGCTTTTCATCCAAAGTTTGAACAGTGACCTGAAGGAACAAATAGATAAACATAGATTAGAGAAGAATATTGGTCGTTAAGCTAAGCATGCCACGCCGTGTGGAATTTTATTCTTTTTGTCCAGTAAACATCCACACAGAAGTAAGGAGGTCATGTTCTCAAATTCTTCAGCAATCATTGAGTTGCCGGCATACATTTTACCATAAATGTCATCGTGAACTGGTTGCCCAACATGTGACGAAGCTTATAGGCCTTTCTCAACTTGCCTATATTTATTATCTCAGAAGCCAAGTCATGGCGATTATTATAGCATAAACACTCAACAATCTCAGATTTTCCTGTACAGACCAATGAAATCTTCACATAACTCCCAAGACTCCAACTTATAAGCACCTGTAAGCTAAATTCATTTAACCATTCTCAGGCTTGTCCTCTTGACTGTAAGCCCTCGTATTAGCACTATATGGTAACTGCCAAATAGATTATTCAACAAACCAACAGAGTTGACATCGCCCGTCGAATTGCTAGCGCTTTAGTCACGGAAACATTAAAAGCAGGTTGAAATGTTGCAGCCCAAATTTTAATAAGGTAATAATGCTGAGCATTAGGGTCTCTTTTAAGCAAAAGAAAATATATCACAAGAATAAAGTGGGAAATATATTGTTATACCTGACCACGTCTCCTTTTCCTTTCATCACGAAAATGTGTGAAGGCATGAGGATCAAACCCTAAAACATGCATAACCTCATGTATTAGAGTAGCTGAAAGTAATGTTTCGGCTTCAGCTGTCAAATGACGCGGTGCCACATTAACATGTCCTAAAGGCAGAAAGAGAATACAGGTAGGGTCAGAACAACACTAGAAACTCCTGACAAGTGGATTTGTACATAATTGAGTTGGTTCACAAACCTGCAATGGCCCGACCCCACTGGTCACGTTCGCAGGCCACAGCCCATGCAAGTGTGTTACCTGTCGTTGGTCTAGTTGTTACTAAGAGGACTAAATCAGCATTAGCAACACCGTCTGCAATTGAGGGGAGATTCACATGACAATATAGAGTCAGGCAATCAGCAGGCAAGAATGCAAGATTGGTAAACTGATTCATTAAAACTGAAAATTACCTTCAACATAAGCATGGGGCAGTTGTACACCTCCATCCTGACCACAAGCTGAGTACCCACTGAGCCGTAGGTTCCCCTTGACAGGTTCAACAGCTAGAGCTTTTCTAAACCACTCTACTGTTTGTCCCAGTGCCTGTTAAATGACTCCATTCAACAACAAAACAGAAGTCAGCAAAACATGGAAATGGGGATATGAAAGTTACATCTTCTATGGCAGTCGAGTGTGTTCGGTATGCTTTTAACTGAACCTGCTGAGAGACAACAAAAGCACAAGAACTGCACCTTCCGGAGACGTTGCTTTTTGTCCTCCCCAGCTATGTCCTCAAGGGTGCAATTGTACCAGCAGTCTCCCACCAGTGGTGGATCGCCATGAGGATCGCATATAGGTGTTCCTGGTGCTGATGGTACAGGAGGTTCGCCAAGCTACCAAATACAACAACAACAATAACAACAACATAGCCTTTCAGTCCCAAGCAAGTTGGGGTAGCCAAGCTACCAAATAGAAACAACAAATTCAATTCTACTACTCAGATAAAATAGCTGCTGGCGCAACGAGAAAGATAATGTGACAGACTGACCTTCACGATGTCGCCAACATTTTTACAATCCCGGTCGGGCGAGTGCCCGACGGCATCATAATTGAGGTATATCCGTATTGGCTTCCTGTCATTCTTCTGTGGAGCACGCCAAGACGACACACCCAACAAGTGTCGTCCTCTTACACGCTCCGCTTTCCCCCGAGACGCATGGTACACTTGTGGCATGACAGAGTACTCCTTCCGCCCAGCTCGTCGCCGCTGATGTAGTATCTCATCATGGATGCAGGAGTGGCTAAGGTAGACATCCTTCTCTCCAGCTTCGACGTCTTGTGGAAACAATGCTTTGCTTTCACCAGAATCCGCACCAGCTCCTCGAGTCCAGACTAGAACCAACACAATCTGCAACACGCGAAGAGAATGGAAGAAAAATCATCAAGATCAATCCAAAAGCACTGCTCCATCCAATGGTACTTGACCGCAACTTATAAGAACCCCAAATATTCACAAACAGAGAGAGAAACGTAAAAAAAATCCACATGAATGATCAAACCCTGCTGTACCTAAACTTGGTCGCGCCCCAAGCATCCAAAAATAGATTTGAGAGACTGAGACAGACGAAACTTGGTCGTTGCGCCAACAGTGCGCAGAGAAAAAGTAAAACCCTACGCAGCAGGAAGCCAAATCTCCCAAATCAACCTCCAAACACGAGACGCGAATCAGCCCATACAAATTCGCTAAGAGGTCGCTGAAACCCCCAAGGTTTCCCGACCATTCCGCCCCAAATCTGCTCCGAGTACTCAGCTCCAGACGCCCGCCCGCCCGCCAAACCCGTACCGGATCGAGGGCAGCAGCTCACCTCGACGCTGACGAGCCAAAGCACCCTCCCGCGCCAGCCGCGGGGCGGTGCCCCGGCCTCCATGTACGCAGCCGCCCGCAGCGCCCAGCCGCTCCCATTCAGGGCCTCGCCCGCGACGCCGCGGCCGCGAGCCTCCGTGTCATCGCCCGTCCGCCTGGGCCCGCCGCCTTGAAGCCCGCGCCGCGCCGCGCCGCCGCGGACGGGTCCCGCCGCGCGCGCCGAGCCCCACGGGACCCGCGCGAAAGCGCAAGCGCAACCACCGCAGACGGCCTCGGCGGCCGACCGCTGGAGCGGATCGAGGACTGCCGGCCGCGCGGGCGGCGCCGGAATGATTAGGGTTTGGTGGAGCCGCGGGAAGCAGCTGGCTGCCCGCCCAACGTCAACGCGCGCAGAGGGCAGGGCAAGGGGAGAAGGCGACGCGGGGAGGTGAGGTGTGCGGGAGTGGTGGTGGATTTAGTCGTGAAGGCCTACTAAGCAGGAGAGGGGACAGTGATGAGGAGAGAAAGACAGAGCCAGCCAGCCAACAGAGCCGAGATTTTATTATTAAACAATAAGACTACTAGTATTTCTCTCTCCTTCCTCTCGCTGTCCGCGGCATTTTGTACCCTACCGGAGAATGCAGAGGTCTGGGAGAAAGGGCGCGGGGCTGTGCCGTATTTGCGGCCGCGTGTCACCGGTCCGGCCAGCCCGGCAGTTGGGGTAGCCGCACCGCACGGATGGGACGGGGTTTCGGGCGGAGACGCGGAGCCGTATCGGTTGTTTTGTACCGTTGCGGCGAGTCGGCAACGGTGGCAGCCCGCAGATCTCAACTCGTTTGAACTTTTGCGATCTCGTTCGGCAGATTCTGTTGGGCGGCCCCCTAACTTCCTGTCTTTTCAAAGATGGATGGATGAAAGTAGCACGAAAACCCCTGACAGCGAAGCCGTACTGTTCTTTCCCTGCCAAAAAATAAACTCATCTTGCAAATCCTGCACTTAGACTGACCGTTAATTAAGCACCCCGTTGGCCCGTTCTGGAGAAGAAATTAATTAAAGCAACTAGGCGCACCGCACACTAATAGCATGTTCGTTGATCGGTTTCTAGACTGATATGTCCGGTTGGTGCTAGTTTGTTGTGAGACAAAAACACTGTTATTTAGCTGATAAGCTCTGACCGAAACCAGGGTGCAGCAAGTTTTACGCAAAGTCTTTAAACCTGCACCGGAGTACGTGCAGTCGTTCGTAATCAACAGTTGCCCGTACCGGCGTACGAAACGAGCTTTGCTTGGGGGTTTTCCTCGGCTCCGAATGATGGACCGCCACGCCACGCTTCGCGATTCATCGGCACCACCACCACCGGCACCGCGCACGGCGCACCCCGTCGGCGATCGGGTGTGACGCCCACGAGGCAACGACCGACCAGTTTCCACCGTCGCCCTCGATGGATGATGCGGAGCACTAGCAGCTGGATGGGTGACGGGGCGGGCGCCGGGCGGGAGGACGATTGGGGACGGGTGCGTTTGCATCACCGAACAAGACACGGCGCGGTTGCGGGCCACCTAACCTAACCACGCCTAATCTAACGCAACCACTCCGCGGCGCGCTCCCCCTGGTCAAGCCCGCCGCTGCCAAATGTCGCCGGCCTCCGTCGCGGCCGTCACCACCAAGCGGCTGCGCCGCGCACTCGTCAGCTGGACACTGGACTGGAGGCAATGCGTGGTCCAACCCAACCAAAGCGGCTGCCGCGCGTGGCGAGTGCGGTGAAAACGGCAGGAATCTGGATCCGGTGCTGCGCTCACGTGTCCCACGGCCGGCCACTGATTAGTACGGTGCGGGCGACAAATGTTACGTTCGCTTAGCTGATAAGTCATGACTGAAAGTATCATTAGCTGATTTGTTGTATGAGTAAAATATCATTCGTTGGTTGAAAAAAAAATACGGCTTATAAACCAAACGAACGGGACGAAAAGTTGAGCAGCGTTTAGGCTAGCACGGGCATGGCCGTGGCCGCGCAGTCAAAGTGTTAGGCGTCGCAGCTGGGCGGCCAACTAGTCACCAGGGGGATACCGTGGTCTGCTGGGTGACGCCCGGGTTGGAGAACAAAGGCTGGATTCTCAGGCAGGACCGCAGCATGGTGTTGAATGCTACGGCTTGTCGTCTGTTTTGTTTGGGTTTTGGTCAAGCGATCAGCTACCATACACTGCTTGCCGCTGTGGTGAATGAATTCCCAGGCCTTTTTTGGTTCAGCGGGAAGGGAAAGGATACGAGTACTTCTTTTCCGCAAAAAATAATTGTACTGTCTGATGTCTGAGGAGCAGGATTGAAGAAGCAACCAACACTTGTTTAAGAACGACCATACGCTGCTTTGCTGCTGTGTTTTTCTATAAGGACTGCTTGCTGCTGTTGTGACTGAATTCCTTGGGCCCTGGGCCTTTTTTGGTTCAGCCGGAAGGGAAAGGATACTTCTTTCCCGCAAAAAATGAATTGCATCAGTCTGATGTCAGGGTAGCAGGATTGTAGAAGGAAGCAGCACTTGTTTTTAAAAATCAAGGGACAAAAAAAGATAAAATCTACTTGTTTTTAAAAAATCAAGTTACAAAAAAAGTGAAAATGATATGTCTGAGCCAAACCAAGGGACAAAAAAAATAAAATCGAAATCAAGGGACAAAAAAAGATAAAATCTACTTGTTTTTAAACAAAAAAATTGAAAATGATATGTCTGAGCCAAACCAAGGGACAAAAAACATTAAAAATGGTAACAAAAAATCAGCAAAAAAATATTAAAAATAAATTGGCAAAAAATATTAAAAATGGCAACAAAAAAATCATGTCTGAGCCCAGGTTCGAACTGGGGACCTTTAGTGTGTGAGACTAACGTGATAACCAACTACACCACCCAGACATCTTGTTTGTTCACCTTCTCAATAATGTTTTTATATTATGACTCACATCAGATCTGTCTAACCATATTTCACATGCATTGCACATTGACTTACCAAGTGGAGACAAGAGTTTCTCATTCGCAAGCGGTGAATCTTTTGTTCTGTTGTTGGACAGAGAGTCAGATAGTATTTAAAATTTTCTAATCTTTCTTTATCTTATAGTAAATGAGAAGTTGTCTTTAACATGTTTCCTCGATCACTCGCTGGCTGTAACAGAAAAACAAACACGACGCTCAGTCAAGCTATACTTGTTACACAAAGTGCCATAGGCCCATAGCTAAAGCGAGAACATGTAGAATCCTGGAGAATTTCACCCCGTGCGTGCGCCTCTCCAGGATCGATCCTGCTCAAGTGCTCAGACTACTTGTTCTTGTCAAGCCACTCGAGGATCCGTTTCTCTGACTCCGTACGCTCCTCTTCTTTCTTCTCTCTGGCCGGGCCCTCGATGAGCCCGAAGTAGTCCTTGTAGTTCCTCTTGTAGTAGTCATCCAGCCTCTGGAACATGAGCATATATATATGATCAGTGCCATTTTCAGTCCTTCCATGTATATCGGTTCACGCTTATGTTGGTAAAATCACCGACTTCTGAATTATTTCTGAGTGTATATTTGAACCTCGAGTTGTTTTATAATTCGAACGGACTGCGCAAGCACACGAAACTCCACCTCTTGCATTGCTTGAGAATTTAAATTTAGCGGAGTGTAAAGTTAATAGACATTATACTGTAGCTCTAGCTTCATCTGTCTGCTATTAGCGTCACTCTTTTTGTATCATGAGACGTTCAGAATCAATGAACTATGCAGCGTTCTTCGCTTGGAAACATAAAACAGTAGAGGCCTAATTACTAGATAGAGAAAGACTAACTTCCCAAGATCATCATTTGAACCACCTAACTTGGGCACTCATGTTCCCAGACTAAAAGTTGATTCTGAAACTTCTGGTTTCGTTCTCTTAAATATGTATAATCAGCCTCTCTCTTTGCTTAAAAAAAAAAATCAGCCTCTCTCAAAAGTATCCTTGTTTGTGGGATGGTTCACTTCACCCATTTTTATTCCTCAATCGATCGGCAATAATAGGATACTATCAAACTACGGGAAAAGATGCCACTTACCTCCTTGTCATTCTTCTCTTTGTTCTCCTCTGATTTCTTCAGATACTCTGTGCGCACACGAACGCACTAACTGCATTAGTTTATATGCAAAGACATACTAGTGGATAGCAAGATGAACCGTGACCGTAAGTATCAATTCCTCAAACCCAGAAATAGTCTGATCAATTTCGCGCTCACCTTGCAGTAGAGCCTTCCTGGATTCACTTCCGCCTGGTATGGCTGCCGTGGAAGTCAGCAGCGTCAGAAGGCACCTCCTGCTAACTCCATTCCTCTGAGCCGAGGTGACGACGGCCTGATGGAGATGCTTCGCGGCTGACCGATGAAACGATGAAGCTACTGGCCTCGTGATTGGATCCATCGGTTTCGCTTGGGGATGAGCCAATTGGATGGTGCTGCTGGACGCTAGTAGATTGCTAGCTACTAGCTAGCTAGCTGCTGCTGCCTTGATATGTGGAAGTCCTGAGAGGAACCAAGACCACAGGTTTTTCTGGATGGAGACGGACGGTCAGTCGGACAGACATCTGCTGAAACTATTTGCACTTTAAATAATTATTATATTAGTAATTATTAAATTTATTTATGGGAAAATCCTATTCGGAATCCACCTACACCACGTCCACGTATTGCAAGCGAACTATTCCCGCGACATGGATTCTATGTCGATTCAGACTGTCTATGTAATTGCTTCCAGTTTCATCGCCCGTTGCCGCCGCCGCTCTTCTCCGTAGCGAGAGCTCCCCGAGACCAACCGCTGGACGGGAAGAGCTCCTCCTCATCCGCTAATTCCATCCGTTAATTTTCCATGGTAAGCCAAATTTTGAGTTCATACTTTCCCAAATTCGTGAGCCTTGACATATGTTTGTTTCCAGTTGCGTGCATCCATAGACCATAGCTAGTTGCACATGTGAGCTAGGTTGCTTATCAGTTTATAGACACTCTTTTCCAAGTGCAAAAGACAAGACTGGATATTACACTTCCGGGTTAAAATTTTCTTTTCAGAGATGATTTATTAAAGGAATGAATGGTGTGTATGGGAGTTAGGATTTGGTAGTCATACTTGATGTGTTGCTTTTAGCTGTTGCATAATCAGTGTTTTATGTTTCTTTCCCCACCTCTTCATTCGATACACAGCTTTATATCCCTGTAGGATTTATATTGTTTTGCATACACTTCTATCTAATACAGTTATTAAGGCCATTTGTTGTAATTAAATTTATCTTAAATTCTTAATAGAAGGGGCCTTTCTAAGCAATGGTGACAATTGGCGTTGTCAACTTAGATGACTGACAAGATATGCACAAAGCCGAGCTTTTATGGTGTACTGTATCAATTGGTGTTTAGTGAAAGCCAATTTGTTCTGCATGGAATGTCAGGCTATTACATCAATGCTAATTCATAATCCTGTTGTTTGCAGAAGTGTCTGAGTCATCAACTAGCTTGGGATGCAGCAATGGAAAAACTGATGAAGTCAGTCCATGCTTTGGTCTGTCATGGCCCTAGAATAAAAGAGTGTCAAGTTTTCGTAAGCATGTTTGAGGAGCTGTCAATCAAGGCAAGTAAATACCGTATGCCTAAGGCGAGGTGCTGGGCAACTCCCCAACGCTGGCTACTCACAATAGATATGATTTCATTCCGAGCTGCCCTGTGGAATCCCTTCAATCTGGACAAGGTTGAACTACCATCCTTGGAAAAGAACTTGCCCCAAAACTACAAGTGTTTGCTCTCATGTGAACCATCAGTTTCTCCCGGCTGTGTGGTTTTAGTCGTTGATGCTGATGAACCCGTAATCTGGTATTGCTACGTTGGAGGGAAGAAATGGACCAGACATGAGTATAACATCATTGTTGAAAAAACATGGCTACCTTTATTTCTGGAGCCCTTTTACAGTACTTGGAATTGCCTCGCGTTGCCTCCCATTGCCTTCATAAAATATTAATTATCATCCTAAAGGATACGTTGATCATTTCACGTGCCTATCACTACTCGCCGCACCCCCTCCCCGATCCGCGCCCGACGCCGTCGTCCCGACTCGCCCTCGCACTCGGCATCGCCCAACGCCCCGTACCTGCACGCGCTGTCGCGTTCACCAAAGCCACCACCGCCGCCGCCGCCCTCGCACGGCGCCGCGCCGGCCTGCCATCGCCCGCACTGCCCTGCTCTTACCCTAGCGACCGCTGCCCTGCTCGCCGTCCGTCCGCGACCCCCTCACCGCCTATCGATCGTCCGCGTTCCCAGCATCATGAGTTCTTATTGCAAGAGGTTTGGATCTTTGTCTTATTTTGGATCTCAATAGCAGTAATCCAATCTGCTAGTTTAAGGCGATGGGATCACCATTTGCCACGCATGGACACTCCCGTGCTCCCTTGCCCAGTTCGGCAAATTCCCAATCCCGTTACCCTCCCCTCCTGACGCTTCTCTGCTCCAATCCGATTTGTTCAGGCGGCCGGCGGGGATCCTGGACTCCTGGGTGACTGATCCCTTGCTCGCATCTGGATGGCGGCAGGACGGGCCTAGGCCCTAGGTACTAGGGCCGGCCGGCCGGGGGAGGGACGGAGCGCTGCACCGGCAATAGACACCAGCCAGGACACCGGACGCCCAGGCGCTGTAAGTGTGCGGCTCACTGACCTGGCCAAAAGCACCGGATTTTGGAATGTGAATGTGTTAATGTGATTTCTGAATTATGATTTACAGCATTTTTCCTAATTGCTAGTGATTTGTAGTTAATAGTGTTCATATATCTTTCTTGTTATCATGTAGATTAAGTATTTTTTTAATTTCTTCATATAAGTTTGTTTCATGCATGATGCGAACAATTTATGCCTTATTTTGAATCTATGGATTAGTCTTTTTTTTTACATGGACCTGCCCATCGCAGATAGCACCGCGGCGGTGTCGAACCTGCCCCTGGTCGTGTGCAGCACGCCAGCACTAGCGTCGGTGTCGGCGCCGGCGCCTCCTCCTCATGGCGCGCTTGGATCTAGGTTTCATGGTCCCCATCCTCTCCAGCCTCCTCTTGCTCCACCATGGACGAACGTCGAGGGCGGCGCCCGAGCGGAGTACGGCGAGGAGGAGGGCGACGCCCGAGTGGATGACGGCGAGGAGGAACGAGGGGTAGGGGTGGCCCGTTGCCCTGCGCCCGGCCTCCTCCCATCGACGGCGGCGGCGGCTCGCAGGACGGCGACGGTGGAACCCTAGAAGAAGTAAACGACATATTCATTTAACTAACTATACTAATTGTATTATCCATCCTAACTATATTACTCAAAACATTATTTTTGCATTTATAGAGTTACCGTTTTACCCTTTATCAAAAAAAAAACTACGAGAATGGAATTACCGCTCAGTCCTAATCTCCACATTTGCGGAGGCAATGGAAGGCGATATTTGCGCATATGGCCCACCGATCATAGACACATCAATCGCCTCCCGTTGCCTCCTACCTTTGTTGCCGTCGGATTGGCCGCTCTCGGTCGATGTCAGCCATCGAATTTTCCCCCAATTATTGTAAAAATTTTCTTATTTCTGTCTTCGAAAAGGCGATGTGAAGAAGAGCATCGACGTCGCTGTTCTCGTGAAGAAGTGTCATCAGAATTTATATTGGAAGATGGCAACTGCAATGGGAAAAGAACAAGAATATCTAGTGATGCTGGCCATGGCATGACGGCTGCTGATCCTTCTGAAAGGATCCAGATACGAAGTATAGTTGCTGTCGAGAGGAAGTTCTATTTTGATATGTCCCCATCGAAACTTGGAGTTCTCGAGTTCCATCCAGAGCCAACATTTACCACACTAGAATTTGAGAGGTTGCCCATTGCAGAGTACTGTTGGGAATCCTCGTCCCCTCATCTGGTTGAATCCCGTGGAAGGCTCTTTCTAGCTGTTCGGGCTCGAGGTCATCATCTGTACAAGATGGATTTCTCGAGACTTGCATGGTCCACGGTGGATGGTCTCTATGACCAGGTATTCTTCTTGTGTAGACTACATTTCACAGCATCATATTCTGCTTGGGAGCTTGGCTTGAAGCAAGGGAACATATATTTCCTAGCGCATGGTGAGGATGGTGTGGTTCAACTGACGAATGTTTTCTTCCCTGGAGACAAACATATGCCCGGCTCCACTTACTGTCCTAGGACCATCGATGATTTGCCGGCTTCATTGCTGGGTATACACAGTGTGCTCACTAAAGCTTGTGGTTTTGCCATCGGAAGTAGTTAGAAGTTTCTGACATTCTTAACTTAGCAAACATCCTGCTTTGCTAGGTTTGCCCATCTGAGATCCTATATGTTGCTGTTACCATTTGGTTTAGTTACCAAGAGAAGCAGAACAGCATGTTGGTTTTCGATATGTATATATATGCTATTGAAACTTGTTTTTGTTTGTAAAGCACTATGGCTGCATTGGCTTAGATGTTCTACTCAAACTTCACAAATATACCGTCCAGTAAACTAAAACAATGCAGAGCATTAATCCAAGAGAAAAGATCTCTTGGTAATTGTGATCCACTGTCAGTTTGCTGTATACAAGAGAAAAGTTCTCTTGTTAATTGTGATCCCTTTGAGTAACGTACAAGATAAAAGTTTGTGTTAGTGTCTTAGTGATTATGTTATGGACTCATGTTTTCATCCATCAAGATATACACTACATAAAACTTACTGGTGGCACAAGTTAATTCAGTAATTCGGATCAACCCCCTCTCTCATTGCTTTGATAAGCCTAAGCCCCCTTTATGTATTGTAAGATTCAATTCAAGTCACATTCCAACTAGCAGGTCTCTAAAAAACATACATTATCCAAAACCAAGGACAGTGGGTGCTAACTCTAACAATGGCTCCAATGCGCTTGGAGCAAACTTCCGAGCAAACAAGAAGCACAACGTTGAATTCTGTTCATTGTACAGACAGGTCTGTCCCTCTCGAACTTCCCTCAAGAATTCCTCCGTGATATCACCCCTGCCAAACCTTGCTGGATGTGCAGCAATTCTAGACCAGTCTACCCAAGTAACACTCCTGTTAGCCAGGCTCTGCGGAGTTTCAATCGAGAGCATTGTTTGGATATAGTGCTCATCAGAATAACAACTAGGCCTGCAGAACTCCTTGAATTTGGGGTAATAGACCGTGTCCTTCACAATTTCAATGGCAAGTTCCCTGTTTACTTCAAACCACTGCGATCCTTTGCGCCATTGGTCAAGTTCAACCTCAGGGGTCATATTCCAGTTGTATCTTCCCCGTCCATATGGTCCAGGATCATCAATAGCCATGACAAAGCTTTGGCTCGAGTTCAGGAAGTATTGGTACGTTGTGTTGAAATCAAATATAGGAATGCATGACTCAGACACAAGCACAAACCATTCGTTGGATATATCCAGCAAAGCGTTGGCAAGTAGACGTCTCTCAGCATCACACATAGTCATCTGACCCCATTCTGCAACCTGTGACCAGTACAAAAAATCAAACAGATGTCAGGGTATCTGAATACCAATAGGAAGACACAGAGACGACTCTTCTATATGATCAAATAATAGTATGCACAATTTCAATTTAGGCATATGAAGTAGGTTGTCCCAAAAACTGAAATAATATACAGTCAGAGCTCACAGTAAGTAGTAGAATTAAAATCAGTAATAAAAAAAAACTCGACCGGGAGGGTTAAGACTGCCCCCGCAGCGTTACAAATAAGAAGAAGGACCTTCTCACCCGGCCGAGAAAACCCCCGAACCCCCGCCCCCACCCTTACACGGTGGCTTTCCGTCGCCCAAGTGAGAATTGGACCGGTGCCCCCCCAGTGCTTTGGTTATGGGGACGGGCGAGGGGATTTTTTTAACCTCAGCCTGAAATTCGCTCCCACGGGGAGTCAAACCCAGGACCTGAAAGGAGTGCCGCTGGGTCACCTAACCATTTGAGCTAGGCACCCTTTGGCATTAAAATCAATAATAACTATGAGACTAGCGAGAAACATCTATAGACAAAGGCAAATAAAAAGTTATGTGCTCCCAGTTCTTTATTTTAGAGAGTTGGTTTTCTCAAAAGTCAAAATCACAACCTTTCCAAGGCTACTCAAATTATAATTGTATATAGTTTGTGATTCAGTACGTGTATCAGTGTATGTTGTCATCTTTGATTAGTTTCAACTTCAAAACATGTTTCGACTCTTTGGGCTTTTGAAAGCTACAATACCATATGCTCAGAAGGAAATGTGAAATGGATATGTCCTAAAAATAAGTATGGCAAGATGAGATGCAGTGATGTGAATTAGGTTGAAATCACATATCTGTCAAAGGTAATTAATGTAGTACTACCACCTACAGATATAACCCACACAATATGTGCCCTGTGGAAACCTGGGAACAGATTCATAAAGAACTGGGTGAAGAACTTGAGTTGTCAAGGAAATTTGTGGAAACTAGATCAACATCGACCAATAATAATCTAACCAAGGCACCAAGCAAACATTTTTTATGATAACCCCTGGCACACTGCAGTATATAAATGGAGCTCTAGAAAGGGGAAAGGGCACAGAGGGACTGCTAGCAGGGAGGTACTGAAAGATGCTACCTCCAACTAACAACCTTATTTGCAGTAGCCTGTTGCTAGAAGCGGTGGCACTACAGATCAAAGTCTAGGGCTACAGCACAAAGAATGGCAGGAGCATCTACTTTTTGCTCTCAAAACCTTTTGTTGGTCTGGGCTGCCAAGGTGCACCAGATGATCAAGATCAGGATATCTGGCCAGAGTTCCAACGGCATGGTCTAGAAGCTTTCTAGATGAGGCACCTAGGTGAGCCGTGAGCCCAAACACATCTGCGAACTAGGCACCTGAAGAAGAGATGCTGTGAGGCCTTGGCAACAGAGATACAACACAGGCAGGCTGCAGAATCGACACTTTTTTTGTGGAATGGGTTGTCTCTTGTCACAAGTATATAAAACATTCGAAGGCTGCGAACAAAACTAAGCTGCAAAATCCTGATCCCCAAACAGGCAAACAGTATTCATCAATGGTAAGCCCACAAGGATGTTAAAAAGTTAATTATTCCCTCCATGGGAATGAACCTGGGTGCATTACTTTCAGCTTCCGCACTAAGTACCACCAATTCAGTACAATGATGCATTATTTTTTTCAGAAACAAGATTACTCGAGTTCATAGAAAGCACATTAAGTAGTTTCAGTACATCACCGCTGATACAGTGGTACGACTAGTCCTGCACAAATGTTAATTTGGAATCCGTCGCACAGGACAGTTAAGCTCTATGTACAATCCTGACACTAAAATCGGATGTTGGGTTTGTTTCTGCTGATAATCCATCCAGAAGAAGCTAGAGCAAAGTGGGCTAACCTTACTGGGGATTTGACGTCGATAGAAGACGGATTCGGAGGTGAAGTTGGCCCGGTACGACGGCAGCGCGTGGACGTAGATGGAGTAGCGCCCCTCGTTCCCCCGGAAGAAGCGCTCCCAGAGCGGCGCCAGCGGCAGCGGGCCGCGCGTGAGGAACATGAAGGCCACCTTGGGCACGCGGCGGAACGGGTACCGCCGCACCCCCGGGGCGAACGACGCGCGCCAGAGAAGCTCCTCGTCCGTCATCGAGTGCTCTAGCCCCGCCGCCGCCACCGTCGCGATGGCCGCGTCGGCGGCGGGGGAGACGCCCAGCCACTGCCGGAACAGCGTGGCCGCCGCCACCTCGTGCCCGTGCCGCGCCATGAGCATGCCGGCCGCGGACATCCCCAAGCCGAGCAGCACGAAAACCTTGAGCATCCCCCACGGGAACACCCTCTGCTGCCCCTGCCTCACCTCCTTCACGTGGTTCTCCATGGATGCCGTCCGCGCCTGCAGCGCGGCGGCTCGGAGCTAGGATTTGTTTAAGCACCGTGGGATGGCAATGGCATGTCGTCGGCGCGGCGCCGGAATGCCGGATCGGGGCCTCAGTGGGGCGCACGCGCACCGCATCGTGGGTGGCCCCGCTGCTTGCCGGCCGGCTTTTGTCCATCAACGGAGATGGTCCGGTTACATTACATGGACTCGGTCTATGAAAGCCATGAAGGGAACGGTGTGCATGGACCGGCTTCGTTGAGCTCTGCTGTGGGAGCGGCGGCAAAGGTTTCTGGTTAGGTGAAGTAGACAGCAGTCATTAGTCAAGAAGAGATGAGACCTCTGAGGCTCCGACCTCAGAGGGTCAGACTGAGAGGACTAGTAGATGATTGCTGGCTTGACTATTTCAGGTTGCACAAAGTAGACAGCAGTCAAGCATATTTGTTCTATTTAGAGGATCTATGGGACCATGACATGAATAATTCACATGCTGTGGCCTTTGGCCAATGGTTTTATATAATGAACCCTTTTTCTTCGAGAGCTTTATTCCTTTTTTTCTATTCCCTCCGTTTGTTTTACATGCTATATTAGTTTGGTCATAAATCAAATATTTGTATCTTTGACCATGGATTTTAAAAAAAATTATGTAGATCCATGACACAAGATCTATATTTTTAGATTCACTATGATAATATGTTCATAATATATAATTTATATGTTGTGAAATTATAAGGATTTTTAGAAATGGATGGTCAAATATAATGATGTTTGACTTATGACAAAGTTAATGTAAAAACAAACAAAGAGAGTACTAATTAGTAATCTTTAAAATTATTACAATCTCAGAGATCATGGATACTACAAGAACATGGTTATTTAGCCACACCATACTTTACTCCAATCCAGTGGCAGAGCCAGAATCACAATCAAGGGGGAGGGGGGAATTGGTCAGATTGATCATAGTTTTGTGGTCAGCCAGTACTTGCTAAAGATAGATGAAACAACTACTGTTTTATATGCGCAGTTTGCAAAGAACACAAGCTTAGAACATCTAGCTTTCTAGATGGACAGTTTAGACTTGCAATCATATACATATAAACCTTAATTAATCTTTGATAGCAAGGGGGCGCCGGAGCCCAATATGGTCTGCACTTGGCTCCACCAGTGCTCCAATCTAATAACGGATTGAGCAAGCTCTCGGATTTCCTTATTGCTCGGCTAACCTTAAACTAATTTGGCCCTCACGGCGATCTTTTCTGAGAGCACAAGAATGAAAATGAAGGCATAATCGACCTCTTATATACCTGATTTAACCATCCGGTTGTTTTTTGGAGAACCCCCAGGAACATTGAACTTTGTTTTCTATCGCATTGTTATTGTCCTGGTACGGTATATCCCATTACTCAAATTATAAAATTATTTTTCATCTAAAATCAAACGAAATTCAATGTGATTACTCCCAAACTATGTGATTTTTCTTATCAATTGGTGGTCAAATTTATAAAAGTATGACTAATACATATCCTATAGTGATTTATATTCTGGGCCAGATAGAGTTTTTTCAATGAATACCATAGTTTTTTTGAACGAAATTCAATGAATACCATAGTTGATAGTATACACAAAGGCCTTTCATTGTTTCATGTATATAAATAGCGGGCAGCAAACTTGATTGGTACAAGTACAACTGTACCCAATTAGTCCAGTATGTTGAAAAGGTAACGACATGGTTAGAGAGGAATGGTTTAACAACCTTAACAACTGCCAACTGTTACACCCAACATTCTGATCACATACATATTCACATGTTCATCAACATCAATTGCCCATTTCCTAAGATGTGCAAACAAAAGTAGTGAAATGGCAAGCGTCATCAAACCATGTAATCTCTGCTTGTCTCGTTTACGTCTAGTTCCATTGTGTCAACATTTGTTGCAACAACACTGATGGGAAACAAAAAGCAAGAGATCAACGACATATAGGCCAGGCCCTAGGCGGAACGGAATCCACAGAGCAGCACCGAAGGAGTCTTCCAACTGTGGGAACATCAATTTTCTGAAGATTTGAACCATATTCTTCCGATGAAACCAAGAAAATACAGGGTCATATGATCCGTTGTAGGTTCACCATACAAACTACTAAAACGATACAGGTCTGTGTAAAATACATGCTGTAATACAGTATATATACCGTGTAAATAATCACGTGGAACGGAGGTGGGCAGCAATGTTCATGGCTGCGTCAGTTCGTCCACCGAAATATCTCCACATATGCAATGATCCACAGTGACCTAATAAAGAAACTACAGGAGCAGGATGCACTGATCAAAACAAAACGACATTAACCAAAACCAAGCACAGTGGGTGCTAACTCTAACAATGGCTGCAATGCACTCGGAGCAAACTTCCGAGCAAACAAGTAGCACAACGTCGTGTTCTGACCATTGTATAGACAGGTCTCGCCCTCTCGAACCCCCTTCAAGAACTCCTCCGTGATGTCACCCCTGCCAAACGTGGCTGGATGTGCCGAGTTTGGACCCCCTCTCGACCAATCCACCCAGGTGGCGGTCCTGTTGGCCAGTTTATGCGGAGCTTCGATCTTGAGCATCGTCTGGATGTAGTGCTCATCGGCATAGCATCCAGGCCTGCAGAACTGCTTGAATTTTGGGTAATACACCGTGTCCTCGACAATCGCAACGGCGAGGTCTCTGTCGGCTTCGAACCACTGCCAACCTTTGCGCCATTGTTCGAGCTCGACCTCGGGCACCATGTTCAGGCTGTACCGGCCTCTCCCATCTCTTCCAGGATCATCGATCGACATGACGAAGCTATGGCTTGAATTCTGGAAATACTCGTAGGTCGTGTTGAAATCAAACAGAGGAATGCATGACTCGGACACCAGCACAAACCACTCGTTGGATATGTCCAGTAGAGCGTTGGCAAGCAGACGTCTCTCAGCATCACACATAGTCATCTGACCCCATTGCACAGCCTGTAATCAGCACAGATTTCAAACTAATATGCCATCAGCAGGGTATGGGTACCTCAATACAAGAGATAAGCTAGAGGAATGACTTCTCCAGTTTATCAAATAACACTACCCACAGCAATATATATGTAACATCAAAGTAATGCAATTTCTTAGATAAAGGTTGCCCCCATACACATTGTAATATCAAAAGTACTACACAATAACATTCAGTGAATAAATATGAAACATCTATAGACATAACTTTTAACAGAGTTATTAGTCTACATATGTTCTTCCAGTTCTTAACCCCTGCAACACAGGAATTGGTTGATTTTCTCGAAAATCAAAACAGCAAGCATCTCTGGGACTGACTTGCATTACTTACGTCTTGTTTATTTGTATAAGTACTAGCCTAGTAATTTAGCATCACAATGATGAGTACTTTAATTTATATACTTTCCTAATTGGAATTTGGAAATACTCCTTTGAATCCATCTTTAAAAGTGACAGAACAAATAGGTATTCAGCACCGACTTGTCAGATCGCGTGCGAAGCAGTAGTTGACTACAACTAGATTGGAGTTTGTTTTCGTAAAGGTGACAGAACAAATAGGCATTCCTGGCGCTACATTGGAGTTTGTTTCGTAAGCGAGAGGCCAGAGGTCCAGATGGGATCGGAGGCGACGAGCTAACCTTACTAGGGATTTGGCGACGGTAGAAGACGGAGTCGGCGGTGAAGTTGGCGCGGTACAAAGGCATCGTGTGGACGTAGATGGAGTAGCGGCCCTCGTTCCCCCGGAAGAAGCGCTCCCAGAGCGGCGCCAGCGGCAGCGGGCCGTGCGTGAGGAACATGAACGCCACCTTGGGCACGCGCCGGAACGGGTACCCGCTCCGGCCGCGCGCCCGCGGCGCGTACGACGCGAGCCAGAGCAGCTCCTCGTCCGTCATCGCGTGCTGCGCGCGAGCCGGGGGGCGGGTCCACCGCTCCAGCCCCTCCTCCGGCTCCGGCTCCGCAGCCGCCGCCCCGAGGCACGGCCGGAACAGCGCGGGCGCGACAGCCGCCACCTCCCCCGCGTGCCGCGCCAGGAACACGCCGAACGCGGACAGCCCCACCACCACGCCGAACAGCATGAGCCCCAGGAACAGCTTGAGCATCCCCGCCGGGAACACCCGGCGCTGCTCCTGCGACGCCGCGGGCAGGATGACGGCGGCCTGCTTCGCCTCCTCCACGGATTCCACCCGCATCGCCATCGCCATCGCGGGGTTGCTCCCGGCTAGGATTTTCTTTCAACGCCGTGGAAGGAATGGAATTCGTTCCCCGTTTTGGGCGCGACCGTCGCACTGTCTCCGCACGACGCGGATCAGGGGCGCACCGTATCGTGTGTGGCACTGGCACGCGCTCTAGTTCTGGCCCTTCTCGGGGTCGGGGTCGCGGCGGCGCGCGCGGTTGGGCTGGCGCGAACTCCGATGCGGCCATGCTGATGGTGGTGGGATTTGTGTGGGTGGCGCTGGCGCCTCGAGAGTTGGTATGAGGCTTGCCTTGCGTGCATGCTCAGATAGTCAGATGCTCTTCTCGTCAACGGGGAGGAGACTCGTGACTCCTGAGGCAGGTGTTATGTTGGGTTCGAGGCTTCGGGCCGTACGCCTGCGTGTGGACCGGCTTCGTTGAGTTTGACCTCGCTTCGATTCAAGCAATATGAATGGATAGACCATGTTCATGCAAAATTTGAGGATGAACAGAAATGTCTACAAGGAGAAAATGATGATATAATTGGTCGGGTGCATTGTTTGCCTCGATTTGCAACCCGAATCAACTGGATCCTGATTTCTCTCTCTCTCTTTTTTTTTGTTTCTCCTTGCAGAAATTTTTATTCATCCTAAAGTTTTGCATGAAGATGGATTTTCATCATCTATTCATTTATATTTTTAGTTGAATTTTTCAAGCATCTTTTGATGATCTTTTTTTTTTTTGAATGGGAGCGCAGAATATGGGTTCTCGATACATGCCTTGCAACAGAGCCTTTCTTCATTCACCACCGCCAGGTATGACTGAACTTCTAAAGTGAAGGCACCTCCTGCTAATTCATTCCTTCGATTCTTTCTCGTTAACTGATGGGAGTGTGGACCTTCTGATTGGATTCCTGCTAAGGCCTCGTTCGCTTGCTCCGGAATGGGCCGTTTCATGTCCGGAATAATTCTGGCGCTATACAATTTTGTGAAGGAATGGTTCCTGAGCAACCGAATGGAGCCTAATTCATTCGTCTGATTCTTTCCCGCTAAGGGCCTGTTCGGTTAAGTTGAAACCTGGCTAGGAATAATTCCAGTTGACGACGTCTATTCAAATTAGAATACGAATCTAGCCAGGAATATTTCCAGGGACCGGTTCCCCTTTCAACCTAATTAGTCCTAAGGCCTCGTTACCAACTACAAACGAAATAGGGCAGAGCCAACTATTCCAACCCATCAAAATTATGTAAATTAATGAACGATTCATGTGGTGTGAATGGTTCCGAGGATCCGTTATTCAAATTACAATCGAAACGGAGCCTAACTGATGGAAGGATTAAGAAGCAATGGACCTTCTGATTGGACTCAACAGTTTCTCTTGGGGCTAAGCCATTGGACAGTGTACAGAAGTCCTCAGAGAGTGACGAAAGAAGGATTCAATTCCTCTGATTCTTTCCCGCTAAGGGCACGTTCGTTTTGCAGGGAATGGAGTGCCGGAACCGATCCGGGCCGGAACGTAGCTGTATTTTATACGGCCAACTATCACCGGGAAGCTTTCCGGCCGAAAATCAGCCTAAACGAACGGGCCCTAACTGATGAAGTATTAAGAAGCAACGGACCTTCTGATTGGACTCAACAATTTCTCTTGGGGCTAAAGCAATTGGACACTGAAGTAACGAAGGCCACTTTTTTTTTTTCGGCGAAGGCCACAATTTTCCAGTGCAGCTTCCATTTTGGGGTACGTCGTTTCTTTCACCAGGAAAGAAAGAATGGGTGGTACTTTTCGTTTGATGTGGCCTGTTAAAGTTTTATCTTACTAGAAATTTACAGTATATTATCTTCGAATAAACCAAGAAAATACAGGGATCCTAGAGAAAAATCCCTCCTGATCCAGGGTCAGTTTACTGTACAAAACAATACAGGTTTGTGTATAATGCACAAGCAGAGGGGGCACTGTGTACGTTTCCATCCATCAATCTGAGCCCATGCCTCCAAGCGTGTAACCCTACAATCATCTAATATCAAAATTACAGACGGCACCTCTTCAAGCTAGTCATCAACCAAAACCGAGCACGGTAGACGCTAGCTCTAACAATGGCTCCAATGCACTTGGAGCAAACTTCCGCGCAAACAAGAAGCACGTGGTTGAGTTCTGGTTATTGTATAGACATGTCCGACCCTTTTGGACCCTCCTCAGGAATTCCTCTGTGATATCACCCCTGCCAAACGTGGCTGGATGTGCACCACCTCTTGACCAATCCACCCAAGTAACACTTCTGTTAGCCAGGCTGTTTGGAGCTTCAATCGTCAGCATTGTAGGGAAATAGTGCTCATCAACATAACAATGGGGCCTGCAGAACTCCTTGAATTTTGGATAGTAGACCGTGTCCTTCACAATTTCAATGGCAAGCTCTCTGTGTACTTCGAACCACTGTGAACCTTTGCGCCATTGGTCAAGTTCAACCTCAGGGGTCATATTCCAGTTGTATCTTCCCCGTCCATATGGTCCAGGATCATCAAACGCCATGAGAAAGCTTTGGTTCGAATTCTGGAAGTATCTGTATGTTGTGTTGAAATCAAATATAGGAATGCACGACTCAGACACAAGCACAAACCATTCGTTGGATATATCCAGTAAAGCGTTGGCAAGTAAGCGTCTCTCAGCATCACACATGGTCATCTGACCCCATTCTGCGACCTGTAAGCAGAACACAAATCAAACAAATACATTCAGGGTATCTCAAAACCAGGAAGGAGAAGAAATTATTAATTGGCCAATGGATCAAATGATATCACACACGATTATGCTGTATAAGTTGTTTCATATGGTTTACATCTACCATCACCCTAAAAGAATAGGAACCCGTCAATAATTGTGAGGCCCCCAAGAGACACCTATAGACTAGGCAGTGGTTTTCACACAGTTAATCAAGGTACATGTGCCACTTGGTCTGGAAAAACTCCAGAACATGGCTGAATGTCCCAGCAATGGCCATTTGGCCATCTTCCCAAAAACCAAAACCACACAACCTTCCGAATGATAGTAGTCAGTGCTCTACAATGAGTAGCCCATTTTTACTCTGGTTAAGTTTGACTTCGTATACAAATGTACTGTCATGACAGAAAAAGAGCAATCCAATCTATAAACTCTTTTTTTGACTTTTATTAAGTTGTATGTAGATCCGTATCAAGCTGAAAAAGACTGACTTTGATACTAGGTCCGGATCCGGACATATGATTGGCAGTGCAATGAATCCGATTCGCATCATGTATCGATGGAGGGTACTAGCAATGATAAGTACAGAGACATCGCACAAAATTCAACCTCATGCAAAATCAAAAACAGATTCAACAAAGGCAGGTTGGGACCCGTAATACTCTTCGGTTAGCAAAGAGTCTGTTCCAATTTGATCTGAATTTGCACTGTCCAGGAGCATGGTAAACACAAAAAGATTAAGCTGAATCCCCTCCAGGGGATTCCTCAGTGCATCATTCGCAGCTTCCTTACTTGCAGTAAGTAGGCCCATATAATAAGACTCTCGTTATGAACATATACTTGTGAAATTCATTAAATAACAAAGTACAGGAAACGTAGGTTCATACTTCTCAGTGACCAACTTGTCAGATACTCAGATCACGTGCAAAAAATCGTTAGTGCAGCTCAAGTTACAAACATGGCACTAAAGGGCATTTGTTTTTGCTGTCAATCCAGTTAGATCAGCACAAGTGAGCAAAGCTAGCAACCACGACCTGCCGAAATGAAGCAAAGCAAGAGGGAGGTGAGCTAACCTTACTGGGAATTTGGCGCCGATAGAAGACCGATTCAGAGGTGAAGTTGGCATGGTAGGATGGCAATGCGTGCACGTAGATGGAGTAGCGCCCCTCGTGCCCACGGAAGAATCGCTCCCAGAGCGGCGCCAGCGGCAACGGGCCTCGCGTGAGAAACATGAAGGCCACCTTGGGCACGCGGCGGAACGGGTACCCGCGCACCCGCGGCGCGAACGACGCGCGCCAGAGCAGCTCCTCGTCCGTCATCGCGTGCTCTACGCGCGCTGGGGGCCGCGTCCACCGCTCCAGCCCCTCGGGCTCCTCCTCCGCGGAGGAGCCGCCCAGGCACGGCCGGAACAGCGCGGGCGCGACCGCCGCCACCGCGTGCCGCGCCATGTACATGCCGACGGCGGACAGCCCCACGCCCAGCAGCAGGAACCCCAGGAACACCTTGAGCATCCCCGTGGGCAGCGCCCTCCCCTGCCCCGCCGCCTGCCGCGCCTCCTTCACGTCCTCCATGGACGCTACACGGGCCTGCATCGCGGCGCCCGCGATTCGCGACTACAATCTCGCGTCAGTGGAATCTACCAGATTTGAGCTCGAGTCTGGCATATCTCCAGCACGAGGCCGGATCGAGCGCGCCAAATCGAGGGGCGGGCACGTACCAGATCTGGTCCGGGTTTGGCGGCCCGGCGGTGGTTGGATGGTGCGAGCTGGGTAGCGGGCGGCGGTGCTGGTGGACAACGGAACGAGATCCTCTGCAGTCACTCTAATTGACTTGTCTCTGCAGTCGTGATCTGAACGGTCTACTTCAGATCTAACCGTGATTCTACAACTCTGAAGCTAACCTATACTAACGGGCTGCTAGCAGCCGGCCCATCAGCGCAAGGACGCCGCGCGAGCATCCACTAAGGGCGCGTTTAGATGGTTAAAAAAAAAATTTGGCCTGAGCTGAAAACCTCACAGCTGCAGGTTTTGGTCAAAAATCTGAGATCCAAATTTTTTTGGATTTGCCGTTTCGTTCCCAAAATTTTTTGGATGGTGTTCCCAAAACTTGACAGCTGCACCATGCAACATGCAAACACATGCATGCACCGGCTGCAAACACATGCAGGCACCGGCTGCATGCTGAAGCTGCAAACGCATGCATGATGTTGTCTCTCATGCAACAGTATGCATGTTTGATCACAATGACACAACAGATGTAATTAACAATTAATCATGCATAATTCATCCACAAAACTGTATTGACGCAACTGTACATCAGCAGTACATATACATGTCCTCAAACACACAAAACTATCAAGAATGGTTTAGCAAAGCATAAGCAATCGAATCACAAAATTCATTCATCAGATTAGACTCATCCTCAACTTCCTCGGGGTCAGGCTAATTCTCAGACGCTTCTCGCGACACATAGTTATCATCACGGTCACACCTTGCAAAGTGTCTATCCCCTATGCCACTTATCCTAATGAAATTATGTAGAGCACAACATGCAACTATAATTTGGCTTTGTTTATGAGGTGCATAAGAAGGGATCTGATACAAGATGCGCCACCTCATTTTCAAAACTCCAAATGACCTTTCAATGACATTCCGAAGACATGAATGTGCATAATTGAAGGTCTCCTCTTTACCTTAGGGTTCTGGGGCGTCTCAATACTCCTGCAGATGGTACTTAGTTCCCTTGTAAGGAGCAAGGTAACCTAGCCGGTTAGGGTACCCGGAGTCCACAAGGTAGTATTTCCCTACATCAGCAAAAAACATTGAAGTAGTTGAACAACAAGGAACCAAATGTGCTATCAGAAAGGTGTGTACCTGCAGGTGGATGTGAAAAGACATGGCTGTATGTTGTTGTTCCATCATTGAATACTATCATGTCATGTACAGACCCCGGCCAACCAGCAAGCACAAATATAAATCTCATGTCAAAGTCACAAACAGCCATGACATTTTATGTAGTCATGCCCTTGCGGCACAAGTGCCGCACAAACTTATCATTGGGCACCACACAAGGTACATGAGTCACATCTATACCTCCTATGCAATCCTTGAAGTAGGGATAGAACCTACGGTTTCTCAGTCTATGATGCATTGTTCTAAATTGTGGGTCGACAGGTTTAATGATGTCAGCAGCAAGCTTCACCATACACTTCAAAACTTTGTTTACCATGTTGGAGACAGTCCCTAGTGACCTCTCAAATCTGTCCTCAGCTTGCCTAAAAGATTGTGGTGCCCCAATCATCCAAAGAAACATCCCTAGAGCCTCAACCGAGGTGGACTTAGCACTAGATTTCAGGCCATATGATTGTACTAAAAGATCATGCAGTCTATGGAACATAGGTGGGCTCATTCTAAACATGCTAAAACAGGCCTTGCTATCCCTCAGCTTTCTCTGTACCCATTCTAAACCAGTCATGGCAGGTTGCCTATACTCAGCCCTATTCAAATGCTTGTCAATGTGCAAGGCATACTGGTATATACCATAGATAAAAGCATCATCATCTTCAGCATCCTCTAACTCAGCCATCATCATCTCTTGTAAAACATCTGAAAGGTCCTTGTTGGTTTTGGTAATTGAATGACAACCTAGGTGGACTAATTGTGTTTATGTGAGATACACAGGTGATTAGTCCACAGGTACATGTGTGTGAGCAACATATGCCATGGAGGTGAAAATGGCTTGAAGATGTTGCAAAGCTCACACATGTGATGATGAAGGAGCTTATTGCACATGAGACATGACATTGAGTCATGTGATCAAGGTGGAGAAGATCAAGACAAGACTTGGCTTGATGGACCGGTTACAAGCGTGAAGGGCAAGTCGAAGGCTTTGGAGTGATGGACCGCGTGGCGGTGAAGCTTGAGCAAGACTTGGCGTCGATGGACGATGGCAACGGTGAAGAGCAAGTAGAGTCAAGATCGATGAACCAATATGATCATGTGATGATATGAAGTGGATCATATCATTGTTGATCGTGTTGGTGCATGTGTTGCATCGACATTGAAGGAGATGGAATGGAATGCGCAAGGCAAAGGTATAACCTAGGGCATTTTATTTCACCGGTCATAGGTGTGTAGAGAAGTTTATGACCGGGTTTAGGATAGATGGCCGTACTATCAAGAGGGGCAAACTTGTTTGCATATCGGTCATCTAGTGCCACTCGAGTGATCTAACTTTGCATTGTCGCTAGGATCGAGTGGCCTGGCAAGTTGAGTGGCTAACATCCTTTGGGAAATGATTGTGAAAATGCTAACACACATACACATGGTGGTGTACACTTGGTGGTGTTGGCACATTTACAAAGGAGGTGGTGTTTGCGAGGGGTGAGATGGGTTTGGGCCCTCTCTCCTCCCGCCGAGAAACTTGCGATGGCGGATTCGGCGCTTTGGGAAAATAGAATACCTATTTTCTATTGCTCGGATGCAAGTTCTTGTGGTTAGCACATTGGAGCAAGGGTGATGAAGTTAGAAGTGAAAACGAGTTAGTCGCGAAGATCTTTGGCGTCGGTCAATCAACCGAACGCGCCGGATCTGAATGCACCGGACGCCGGCAGTCGCGCGTCGGCCAGTAGCGTCTGATAATGACGAAGCTAGAGTGTGACCGGACGCGGCGTCCGGCCCGAAGTATGTGACCGGACGCGTCCGGTCGAGGTTGGTACTTTCTTGAAAGCGACCGGACGCCGGGGTTCAGCGTCCGGTCGATTGAAGCTTCCAAGCGTCCGGTCAAGTCAAGTGGCCCGTTGGAATCGAGACACGTGGGTCTGTTCAGGCGCGCCGGACGCCGAGGTCCAGCGTCCGGTCAACACGATCGAAGGAAGCGTCCGGTCGGCCCGACCGTTGCCAAATGAAGGGGTAATGGCTAGTTTAGCCCTTGGGGCTATAAATAGAAGTGGCCCTCGGCCATGGCTGGAGCTGAGCACCTCAAGGGACTTAGTGTCCATGCTTGTGAGTGCTTGGGAGCCCTCCATCACACACATACTTGGGAGCGATCATCGATTGTGTGAGTGAGCGATTCTAGTGCGATTGCATCGTGAGGTTGCATCGAGTGGCACTAGGTGATCGAGTTCTTGGCCGGTGGTGCTTGTTACTCTTGGAGGTTGCCACCTCCTAGACGGCTTAGTGGTGGTCTCCGTCGAGCGCCAAGAAGAAGCTTGTGCGGCGCTCCCGGAGAAGTGCTTGTGAGGGGCATTGTGCTGCGCCCCACAGGGCCGCCAAGAGCAACTCTAGTAAAGCGTGTCATTGAGCTACCCTCACTTAAGGGGTAGGTTCTTGCGGCGCCCGACGTGCGGGCTTAGCGGGTGATGCTAATTAGCCGCCGAACCATCAAGTGAGCGGTCGACACAACGGGGACTAGCGTGTTGGCAAACACGTGAACCTCGGGAGAAAAATCATCGTGTCAACCTTGTTCCTCCCGTTGGTTTGCATCCCCATTACACAAGCTTGCAATTTCTTTTATACATATTAAGCTTGTGTAGTTGCTCTTGTAATTAGATAGCTTGTGTAGCTAGCTAATTACCTTCTTGCTTGTGTAGCATAGAAGTAGCTCCCTTGCGTGGCTAATTTGGTTTTAGTAACCTTGTTAGTCACATTGCTTAGTTTGTGTAGCTAAGTATTTACGCTCTCTAATTAGGCATTGGTTGCCTTGTTATTGAGCATTGCTAGTGAGCTTAGTTAGATTTGTGCTTTTGCTTACTAGCATGTGTAGGAGCTCCCTTGTTACTTAAAGTACTAGTGGCATAGGTTTGTGTGACCTTGCTCCTAGAATTATTTAGGAGAGCTCTAGCTAGCCCGGCACCTTAGTTGCTTTATTAGTATCTTTGCAAGGTGCTAGTGAACATATATAGAGGGGTGTAGTCTTGGCTAGACCGATTGTTTTAATTCTGCATTTATATCGGTTAGCCGACGCGATTAATTTTAGAAAAGACTATTCACCCCCCCTCTAGTCTGCCATCTCGACCTTACAACATCCCAAGGGTCTACACAATGGGTTGCTGCTACTGATACAACATCAACCTATCAAAACAAACAAGGAGTAAACTCAGTCATGAATCACATTACAAATCAATGTCATGCATGACTACGTTCACTGACATGTGCCAGTCACTCTCACCCATGCATCACATAGTTCAAATGGTCACCATACTTGAAGTTCACCAAACATTACTACATTTAAGTTGTTGAAATAAGAAACATCACAAACATAGTTGAAACACACATTCATGCACTACAGACTTAGTTCAAATGACATAGGACATGGCTGACATTGTTTCAGGACACCATTACGACATGAACTTCAATTCATAGACGAAATAAGATAAGATGGTCTATGGGTCGACCGGCGCAGCTTGCTCGATGATGATCATCCTTTCTTCAGGGCCGTTGGAAAGGAAGAAGTCCATATCACTTTCATTGTGGATGACCTTGTACAGCCCCCTGAACAATGTTGGAGTCTGTGCACTTATACCCATCTCCTTTGCTATCTGGGTGACCCTGTCTGTCTTCTGGCTAAGGGCCGACCGTGAATTGTGGTCCTC